TGTTTCCATTTTTGGGTTAGTATGAATAAAGCTGTGATCAATAGTTGTGTACAAAACTTTGTGTGGATGTATGTTTTCATTTCTCCTGGATCTGTTTCTTGGAGTGGAATTGTTAGGTCATATGGTAACTCCGGTTAATATTTTGAAGATTTGTCAGACTGTTTTCCAAAGTAATTGTGCCATTTTGTGTTTCCATTGGCAATGTATGAGGATTTCAGTTTCTCCATATTATCTCCAGTACTTGTTATGGTCTTTTTTTTTTTAATTATAGCCATTTTAGTGGGTGTGAAGTGGTATCTCATTGTGGGTTTGATTAGCATTTCTCTAATGAGTAGCTACTGAGGATCTTTTCATGTGCATATTGGCCATTTATAAGTTGTTTTTGGAAAAATGTCTATTCAGATAATTTGCCCATTTTTAAAGTGTGTTATTTGTCTTATTATGAAAATTTAAGAGCTCTTTATGTATTCTGAATGAAGTCTCTTATCAGATATATGATTATAGAGTCTATGGGTTGTCTTCTGACCTTATTGATGGTATTGTTTGACATGCAAAAGTTTAAACTTTGATGAAGTATGACTTACCCATCTTTTCTTTTATTGCATGCTTTTGTGTTGCATCTGAGAAGCCACTGCCGAACCCAAAGTCAGGAAGATTTACTATAATGTTAGGCAAGAGTTTTAGCTTTTACATTTAGATCTAGATCTGTGACTCATTGTGTGTTAATTTTTGTGTATGGTGTGAGAGGGGTTCAATTTCATTGTTTTGGTTATTCTATGTTCCTTGAATTGCCATATGAATTTTCAATCAGTTTGTCAGTATTTGCCACCAAAACAAAACAGCTGGAGAGGTGAAAAATGGTCAGATTCTGGCAAGATTCAGTAAATAGCAGTGGCAGGATTTGGGACCCAGGATGATCCCCAGTGATTGTGCTCAAGGAGCTGATTACTGAGACTGGGGAAGGAAAAGCTTGAGTCCTGTGAGAAGGTGTTATGAGCAGGGATGGAGTTGGAAGAGGAGTCCATGGCATGGCAGATGGGCCAGTGAGTGGAGCAGCAAGAACCTTTACAGTGATGGAATGGAAGCTTGGGATACAGGGCGAAGTGGGGAGCACTCATGGGTCAAGGAGGGAGGGATGTGCAGGACAATGGGGATGTGGCATAGACATTAGTGGTGACCCTCCACTTGCTGTAGGTGGAGGACAATTGGAGTGGAGAGTGGGGAATAAAGTCAGCAAATTTGAGTTCCTTAAGAAACGTGGTTGTGAAGGGGGTGGGGATGCAGAGGTAGTGGGGCTGGGGTGTGGAGTCCAGACAGATTATGTTCTTTAAACATGGATGCCTCAAGCTTCTGAAAGGTTGAAAAGGCCCAGGAAGGGTCCAGGTTAGAGGGAGTGATCAAATATTCAAGAGGAATATGGGACATGGTTGATACTCTAGGGACCCTTTAATCAGTAGTGGGAAGGAGAGGATATCAAGCCCAGATGGAGAGATTGGCTCAGCTGGGATGCAAGGCCTCCCTTCCTATGTTGGGGATGGAGAGGGGACAGAGAAGGGCTGTCATGAGGGGCTGACATGTCCCACTAAACAGTGAGAATCTCTGATGAGTTTGTGTCCGTGGGGGTGGGGGGACATGGGAGAGGCCAGATGTGGGTTGTCTCCATGTGAAGACACTTCCCTCTTTACATGCTGGGTGAGGGGCAGGTAGGAACAGCTTCTGGCTCCAAAGGCTGCCTGTGGTTTACCAGACACAAAACCTAATGTGAAGACTCTGAACACATCTAGGCTTTTTGCAATTACCACTTGACCCTTTGCTCAGGCTTCTTGTCATCTGTTCTTATTTTGGGGTGGGTGAGGGAGGGTTTGAACTGAGGAAGGTGTCAGGCTGTCAGTGGTTTGGCAGGGCTAGAGGGAGAGTAGTCCAGGAAGCCTCTAGGAGGACATATCCTCCCTCCAGGAGTCTGTGGGGTTGGAAGTGGGCACAGAACACCAGCGTCTGGAAGGAGAAGTGGATGCCATCTGTGGGTTCCTAGATGGGCCACCTGGGGGTGTCCCCAGCTGTGGGAAGGAGAATGTGCTCTGGCGCTAAGGTTTCCTGCTGCCTTTTCAGGGGCCTGGCTGGGCTGGCTGCAGGTCTGCAGTGTTCTCAGTTGGGGTGGGTGGGTGTCATCAGTAGATGGATAGACCTGGCTGTCGCCTGGGTCATGGCTCTAGCCTAGTAGAAGGAGAGGACAACTGATGGGTCAAGAGATTTTCTTCCCTGAGGACCCAGATGTATCTGCTAACAGGACGTGTTAGTTTCCTGAGCTTATCTGTCTGCCAGAGTCCCATAAAAGTGAGTTTGGGGACTCTGTAGAGATAGATGTTGGGGCAATACAGAGCGGGCAGGGAGCACAGTGCCGGTCCCAAAGATGGGTCCTGGCCAGTGACACTGTCCTTGCCACCTGCTCCTAATCGGCTTGTTTGACATCTGTGTCTATGAGTAAGGTTTCAGAAGACCTCATTAGAGACCCAAGAACCCAAAGAAAGCACCCGTCTTGAGGAGAATGTCTTCCTCACTTGCAGTTCCTGGTAATAAAGGAGGTGATATTCTCATGCATTCACTACGTGCCAGATGCCGAGGGGCCACTTTCTGCATGTGCTCTAAATCCCCTAACGCTTCTTCCCTCTGCTTCATGTGCAGGTGAAGAAGGTGGCTTGCAGGTCAGGTGTGGAGCAGGTCCCCGTCCATCCCCGCCGCCTTCTGAGTGTCCACTGGCAGCATGACTTCTAGAAGGGGCATCCTGATGGGACCCCTGTGTCTCTGTGCAGGGCCTTCCTCTGGCTTGGAAACTCTGCAGTTGTCTCGTGAGGGGGGTTCCATGTGCTGCTTCTGTGCAAGCTGGGGAGCTGGTTGTTCAGTGTGTCCAGACAGGAGGGGTCTTGTCTGTGGTAGGGCCCAACTACACACAGCCCCCAGCAGGGGGCAAAGGGGACAAAGAGGGCCTGTGGCCGTTGCCCAGCAAAGGAGAAACACTGCCATACTTTACGGGGCTTCTAATAGTGACAATAGTTTGCTGCCAAAAATTCCCCAGGAAAAGGAAGGAATTGCGTCAAGGTAAAGGTGGGTCCTGGTAAATGAAGTTCTGACCTTGGGGTGTGTACGTCTTGCTTTACTTGGCTCTGTGTCCTGTGGGTGTGGGCTAAATGCATCACTAGGATGCTGTTTGGCTCTCTTGCCCAGAGGAGGCAGGAGTGGATGTTTAGAGGTGGTGATGCTGGAGTAGATGTTCTGAAGACCCCTAGTACTTTGCCTGAGCTGATGCGTGGCTGCAGAGAATTCCATGGGTCTCTACTTCCAGACCCCCAGGGGCAGGTGAGAGTATCACAGAGAAAACTAGAGGCCCCTTCACAGAGACTTGCAGTTCATCTTGGCTGGGCTTCCCTGGGAAGCAGGAGAGACCTAGGGCAGAAAGAGCTTGGCCCTGCTCAGCTTCTCAGGTACCCTGCTGGGATATGAGGAGCAGAGAACAATCCTGCTTCTGCCAAGATCTTAGGATCTTATGTCCTTTCCTCCAGCTGTCAGTGAGACGTGCCCCAGTTACCTCATATTTTTACATATGTTATCGTGACAAGAAATTCCACTTGAGCCTTGCAGATCAGCCCCGTGTGCAGGGTTCTGCAGTGTCTTCTCTCCTGGGAGGTATGTGTATAAAGTGGACCCCACCTACTTTGCGACCTGGGGTCTTCCAGCTTCCACTGCCACCAGAGATGCAACTAAAGTGTGACAGGTGATTCTTGATTGCCTCCTAAATTTCCTCTCTTCCACCCCCTCCACCCTCACCTGTTTGTTTGCGGCATCCTCTTTGTGAGTTCAGGGCAATCCCCCACACTCCCAGCATAGGTTTGGGAATGTGAATACCCCGCGGGTGGCCTGGCCCCACTTCAGAGTGTGCTCATGACTGCTGGGCACCCTCCTGGCCCCAGGAAGAGCCTTACTGCTCACACTTCCCTGGTCAAGGCCAGTCCTCGCAGGGTCCCCTGCAGGTGACCCAAAGCTTAGTGAGGGGCAGGCACACAGTAGGTACACACAGTAGGGGTCAAATCCTGGTGGTTTTACTCATTCCTTTGAAGACCTTGCATTAGGCTGTCTCCTTGACAACCAATCTGCTTCCCTCTGTGTCTGTGCTCCTTGAGGTCACAGGAGGCCCTTTAATGGGATGGAGACATTTTCAGACAAGAGGATGCTCTGGCTGGAGCCACAGGGCTGTCTGGGGCAGGAGTGGTGGAATTTTAGAAAAACAGCATTTGGAGTGCGCTCGTGAGGGGAGAAAAGATAACGGGCATGACAGCACTGTGCTGACCTACCTTCAGCAGAATCCAAACTTACTTCTAGAGAGAAGCAGAGAGCAGAATGCAGAAATACTCATTTCCTGTTTTTATTGTTGGTTACTTAATGACCTTCCTTTGAAAAGCTGCAGTTGTAGAAAGCTAGTTGTCATGGAAACAGGGAGTGCCATGCAGGGAATAGGCATTTCTTTGTCATGTCCAGCTGATGCCTTCAGCCTCTGCTTAGACACATGAATTTATGTGAGAAATTAAATGTCGACTGGAGACATTGCCCTGGAGAGAGGCAGAAAGGAGAGGAAAGATGGCGAGGACCAGGGCAGAGGGAAGGCAAAGCAGGCAAAGTGTTGGACTTGCACCAGCCCCCTGGTTGGAGTGGCTGCTCATGGAAACCACACCCACTGGAGGCAGGTTCCAGGAAGATGGTGCAGGAATGTAGGGTGCTAGGAGCCTCTGAGCATCCCAATCATAGACCAGTTTTCTTCAGAGAGCTCCTGTCCCTTTTCCCTGGAACAGCCACGGGGCCGTGACATTGTGTGTCTTTCTGATGGATTCCAGAAGAGAAGGTTTACATTAATGCTTTGGAAAAGAGTAGTCCAGGTTTTCCCTTTTCTCCCCTTGAGCTGGCACAGCTGCCTTCATTAGGTTTTCTTTTTCTGACCCTCAGAAAATGAGTTCCGGGGTGAGCTGCTGAGTCAGAGGTGGACACAAGGAGACAAAGCCAGCAACTGCAAGACCTCGAGGCTCCTCCTGGGCAGACGCAGCAAGGTGAGGCACCTGGAGGGCAGCCCCTGCCCTGCCACACCTCCCCCCCCCACCCCCAGGTCTGGGCAGGGGTCCTTCTCATTTCCAGGCATGGGCATGGAAGTGACTTTCAGTCTGGTCACATCAGTCTAGAGAGAGGGTAAGTGGGGGCTAGGACCATCAGTGATCTGGTCACTGTAAAATTAAAGGAAGAAAAACGACTCTGAACAGAGTAAAACTAAAATATGACAACAGACTGTCACCTCTGGCCAGGTCCCTGCTCTGGATCTGGTCATACCTGGGCTGCGTCCATAGCTGTTGCCCAGGTAGGCTGAGAATCCTTGGTAGACTTTCTCCTTGGTATGTTGATCATGTTTATTTCCATCTTCCCAAGTGGAGGTAGATGGTACATGCCCTTCTCATACCTGCCACCACTAGAACTCAGTGATGGAGGTGACTCAGGGTCCCTGCCTCCCCAGGGATGCTCCCAACCCAGGGTATCCCATATGCCTACAGCCACACCAAGCCTCCAATTCCAGAACTTCCCATGACATACTCTGGATGAAGCTGGATTTCCAAGATCTGGTGACCCTCAGAGATGGAAGTAAAAGTGACAACAGGCTTGTGGGCATTCCTTCCCAGACCTCAGATTCTGGTCTCTCATTTTCCTGACATGGAGATGGTCCTCAACAAAGATCCAAGCCATGATGCAGGCCATGGCCACCCAGATGTGATGGCCCAGGGAGTAGTCTGGAAGGGCTACAAAGTTTTAGGTGGCTACTTCACTTGAGGGTGCTTGTAGTTTGCTCTTAAAACCCAACACTTTTCCTTTGAATGTGGTGACTAAAATATATGTTCTAATGGGTCTCTTGTAGCACCCTGTTAAGTACTTCCACTCCCACTATTATTCCTGTAGGGTTATCACTGCTATGCCAAGCCATGTTGGAGCCTGAGGCAAAAGGAAAAGTCAGTAAATGCTGATCCTATCTTTCTTTACATTTTTAGTATTTTGTACATCATGTATTTTGATGTTTTGATGTTTTAAAGTATCACATTAAACTGTTATTTATCTTGTTTTTTTTCCACCTTAAATTTGCCTTCTTCATTTGCCCCTTTCCAGTGCTGAGCATTCAAACAGAGATATTGTGACTGACAAAGTTATTTGATGTGAGGCCAGGGGCTCTGGATAACATGTATCTACAATTGTGGGATCTGTGTAAGGGACAGATAGGAAGGTTGCTGTCCCCCTGTGGCTCCAGCTGACAAGCGCAGAGGGTGTTAGGACCTGCTGTGAGCAGCCTGGTGGCCCCTGCTCAGGCTTTCCTGGCAACACTGGCTGTTTCACAACTGCCCCATTAGAGAGTCTTACTTCTAGTTTGGGCCTGAGTTACTGTTCTGAGCAGAGAAGCTAAGATGCTGGACAAGGAGGGAGGATGTTCCTTTGACAGAGCGGATTTCCAGAAGGACTGTAGGGTGGTATGTGCTGACTGAGGACGCTGGGGAGGCCAAAGCATGGGAGCAGTGGAGGCCATGGGAGAGCAGAGTGCCACACAGCAAGTGGGGACTGGCTTTACATGGCTTTACATGGTGGGGGTGGGGTGGTGGAGCCTCAGTTCCTGGAGGGTGGTGGGAGCAGAGGAGTCCCGTGTGAGTGGGTGGGTACTCATGGCTTGGTTTGCTGTGTGCCTCTGGCTTCAGCACCAGGCATGTGGACAGCTCAGAGATGGGCTGTGAAGGGGCTGTTAGAAAAGATTAGGTGGTTGTGGGTTTGGGGCAGGTGCTGGGCGTTGAGCTCTTTATTTTTATTTTTTAACTTAAGGAGAAAAGGAATAGGTGTTGATGGTAGGTACTTAAACTTCCTCCCGACCTTCAAGAATGAAACATTTGGGCCCCAATCACATAATATTGAATGGAGGACTCCAGGTATGAATCCAGGAGAAGGTTGATTGCATGGACGCTTAGCAGCCCTTCCTCCTGACAAGGGAGGGAGGTGCCACTGGGCATGGCCTTTCTGGCCTGCTTCACTGGATGTTACTAGATTCCTACACTTGGGTAGGTAGATATTCCATTTATGTTGGAGCTTTTTCTTTTTTTTAATGTTTACTTATTTATATTTGAGAGAGAGAAAGAGCAAGAGAGCACAAGCAGGGGTGGGGCAAAGAGAGGGAGACAGAGAATCCAAAGCAGGCTCCGAGCTCTGAGCTGTCAGCACAGACTCCAACACAGGGCTCGAACCCACAAACTGCGAGATCACGACCTGAGCAGAAATTGGACGCTTAACCAGCTGAGCCACCTAGAGGCCCCCCTATGTTGGAGTTTTAAACAGATGGACCCAGACATGGCTGCTTTATCAGAGTGTCTACTATATAACTATAATTTTCTAAAAATTTATTTATTTAGTTATTTTTAATTTCCAGTACAGTTAACATATGGTGTTATATTTAAGGTGTACAATGCAGTGATTCAACAATTCTATGTGGTACTCAGTGCTCATCACGATAAGTGTACTTTTAATCTTCTTCACCTATTTCACCCATTCTCCCCCCTCCCCCCAATGCACCTCCCCTTTGGTAACTACCAGTTTGTTCTCCATAGTTAAGAGTCTATTTTTTGTTTCTTTGTCTGCATATAATTAAAAAATTTTTAAATGCTTATTTATTTTTGAGAGACAGAGAGAGACAGAGTACAAGCGGGGGAGGGGCAGAGAGAGAGGAGGACTCAGAATCCGAAGCAGGGTTCAGGCTCTGAGCTGTCAGCACAGATCCCGACAAGGGGCTTGAACTCATGAACCATGAGATCATGACCTGAGTTGAAGTAGGATGCTTAACCAAGTGAACCACTCAGGCACCCCTGTTTGCATACAATTTTTAATTTGGGGTTGGAGTGAGCCACAATTCCCTGCCCAGAGATGTTAGGAGAACCCCTCCCAAGACATGTGCTAGATAATGCTCCATGGGTTATCCTTTCTACAAACCAAGGCAAAGTCTGCTCTATTCAGCTGCCAGTAGGTCGAACAATGGGTGGGTGTCCGGAGAATTTCAGACATGCATTTGGACACCCCCAAAGAGGCGACAGAACTATAATTTCAAGGAACCAAGGGTGCTTTGGTAGCCATGGTGGGGAGCAGGGGTGTGGGCATGTGATTTAGCCTCACATATCAGAGAATGGAAAGCAGAATGTGTGCAGAGGGTTCCTGAGGTAGTAGAACCTGTACCCCTTTGAAGAAGAAAGCTGCTCTTCGGGCTGACTCTTGATCTGTCATACAGGTATGTGCTCGAAAGAACAGGAAGCCAGGAAGATTGTGCAGGTAGGCAGCAGCATATGGGACTGGCACTGGGGGTTCTGGAGGATTCTATTGGAAAGCTTGATGGGGAGAAGGAGCAAGGAAGACACTTTAATGCTGCTCCCAAATCCTTCAGTGAAGCTTCATCTCAGTGTTAGGTACATGGATCTGCTGGAAGGGCTTCATAGTGGTGATGTGTGAGTTGGGTTGGCATTGCCCTTGGCTGTGCACAATTGAGAGAATAAAACAGCCCATATTGCCCCCCCTTCCCTCCCCTGGAGAAAGGGGACACTGGCAGATGCTCTTGGAGCCAATATGGTAGGTGACAGCCGGTTCCCTGTCACGCCCCTGTTATGTCCCTCCGCCCTCCGCATCCCATATCACCCCTTCCTTCCAGGCAGGTTTGCCTGCGGTCTCCTGGGAGTCAGTGAGTGCTCCCCTCTCTTTGTCTAGGTCTTCCAGCAGGGAAAACACCAAAATCCTCCCACAGAGACACTATAATCCATATAATCTTGTGGATTTAAAAAATTGTCCCAAGTCCAGTCTAATCTTCCAGCTTTGCTAGCTGTTGGAACACATTCTAAACAAAATGAACACTAACCTGTCTCTCCCTCCAGGCCAGGGGTGGGATGAATGTCCCCAGTGGTCTCAGGGGGTCTGGACCCCACCCAGCTTCAGGGTCTGGTCCCTATTCAGCCCCTTCCAACTGCTCCTGGCCACATTTTGCAGTTCCGGGATCTCAGACATGTTTCCAACTATTGTCATTCATCTTTCCACCTGTCTGTCTGTCCTTACATAGTATGTGCTGAACAGTGAATGGAGCCATGGTACCTGGCTCTGTATAGGAGAGGCAATGGCCTTGAAAGCATGAATGAATGAGCTTATTTCAGACTGAAGTGAGGGCCATGAGGGAAATGACAAGGCACAGAATGGAGAGTGAGGGGGAAAGGGTGGGAAAATGGAGGTGCAGGCCTGACTGTTGAGAGGCCACCCAGGGATGTTTCCTGTTTCCCAAGACTGGAGTACCTCCCACCCTGAAGCTATCATCCCTAAGACCCTCAGGTCTTCACTGATTCATTGAGCCTCCTCACTCCCACCCAGGCTCCCAAGTCTAAGCAGTTCCCTCCCTCTTGAGCTCTACCCTGCCACCTGGGTGCTGAGGCTGGCTCTCCTCCTACAGGGGCTGGGGGGGTGGTGCGGCAGGAAAGCTTCAGCATGAATTCTGTTCTTTGGCCCTTAGCCATCCATGCAGAAGGGCAGGGATACGGCATAGGGTGGAGAGGAAGGAAGCTGGAGTTGTGAATGCCTGGGAAGAGCCAAGAAGAACTGAGAGAGAGAGAAAGAGAAGAGAGGGAGAGGAAGGATGTAAGAGAGAGAAGAGGGAGGGGCACCCCTTCAAGACCACCACGGATACTCCTGAATGTGGGGGTGAGGGTGGGGCAGACCTGATCTCTGAGGGTAAAGGAGAAGATCGGCACGAAGTCTGTTAAGCATCATTGCACACCTCATGAACAATCTATGACTGGATGTTCTCGGACATTGAGAGTCTGCTCTCTCTGCTTTGTGACTGGCTGTGTGTCTGGGTTCTGAGTGCATTTCTGACAACCACAGCCTAAGAATCCAGACAAACCCATGGGTTTCAAGGCTGCATAATTACTGCATTTGCTTTTTTGGTTCCCAAGTTTATAAATGTCCAACTTAAGGAACTCAGTTTTGGCAAGGGTGCTATGCAGATAGGTCTTAAAAGGGGCTGGTCTTTGTAGCATGGTGTTGTGAGAACTGTTGGTATTTAAAAAGAGCATACCTGATTAATCTTGACTTTACAAAAAAATACATTACAGAACAAAATAGTAACACCTTCTTGAATGAGACCCATTATATGGTACTAACAAAGCAAGTTAAAAGGAAGGGTGAAGAGACAATTCTCTTCGGTTAATGGATGTGGCAAAACAGGATGTATTTGCATTTGTAAATTATTCTCCTCCCATAGTTTTCCTATTGAAGATGGAACTACTGAAATATTTATTAGAGTGGAGTGATGGTTTAAGGGGCACAGGGAAGCTGTTAGACATGCTCCTGGTGGCAGAATGAAGTTGGCTTATGGAAACAGCGCAGACAATGTTCTTGAGAGAGATCACTGCCCCGCAGTGAGAGTGGGGGTTGAGGTTGGCTTGGCTGTGACAAGGGGACCTTCTCACCCTCCAGGTGAGAGGCCATTCAGTTATTTCTGGGCTGTACAAAAATAGGGACTTGATTGGCTTGTGCTTGGAACAAATGGTTTTTAAAAATAAATCAGTGAACCACTGGGAAGTGTCTCATTGTCTTTGCACCAGTGAGTGGCCTGTCTTTGTGTGACGAGGGACAGAGGGCCCTGGGGGGCTGCCAGTAAGCCAAGCAGCACAAGCCTTGGCGGTGCTGGGCTGTATGGGCATCAGTTCTCCGTCTACAACACAGGGCGTGAGGCCAGAGGAGAACCCACCTCTGAAGTGCTTTCAGTTCTCCAGGAAGGAAAACAACGTAAATCGTAAATCAAGTGGAGCTGGTTTTATCACAGCTTTGCCCAGATGCTTCCGAGGCAGCCACCACTGCTAGTTTCAAACGGCTCAGAAATCAAAGTCTCCCTGCTTCGTTGTTGATGTCCCACGTCATCGGGTCTCACAGATTCATCCTCATATTAAAGAGCTAACCCATTTTTCTTCCTGTGGTTGAGTTTTTTTTCCCCCCTTTAAAATCAAAGCTACATGCACCGAAGAGAACTTCTCACTTATTGACCGTTTGATGCAGATAAATTGCAAATGGAAAGGTGCTCAGCAAAATGAATGCCACAGCTGTTAGCTTCATCAATGGGAGCTCGCAGTTTGCAAGCAGCGCCCATTACGCATCCCTGCAACTCTCTCTATTCTCTGCTCTTTGAATAATTTATCTGCAGGAAATCCAAATTGCCAAGGCACGCTTTAACCTAGCAGAATGATTGCCAATTTCCTTGGGAAAACTGACAAAAAAAAAAAAAAAAAAAAAAAAAAAAA